CATTTTAAGGCCTTAATTTTAAATACATACATTTAAGACTTTTCAAGAACGCACGGATGCCCCGTTACTCACCACCAGATTCTTTCCTCCCAAACTTCTCAGGGTTTTTGGTGAAATCTTAAGTCATCTCAATCGTAGGCATTAGAAAGTCAATACTGTTTTTCCCAATTTAATGCTGTGAATTTGTTGTATACGCTCAGCAACAATTTTAATGAAACAAAGTGGCACATTTTTTGTCTTAAAAACTGTTTCCTAATTTTTTGGGTAAATTCTTTCCAGTTTATCTGGTCTAGAAGAATTGATGTGCTTGTTTTTTTGTTTATTAAGTCACTGGATTTTTAAAGTCTTGCTTATTATGATTAAATTAAATTATTTAAAAATAAAAGTGCGATTTTCCATTTCGCTGTGCATCTTTATTTGGCTAGATTTAAGTTTCTACTGTTAGCAAACAGGTATGTAGGTGAAAATGTGTTGCTATGGTAGGGAATGACACCAACACACTCAAATACTGATGAAACAGAACCAACTATACCTGGTTAACTTAATGGTCTTCCTGAAGTCATTTGTGATGGGAGCTTTGTAACCTCCCTTTCGTAGTAAGGAATCTATGGTTTGAATGTGGTCCCAACCTAGAATCATAAAAAAATAATAATTAAAAATGTAACAGTGCAATTCTTTTGACAGAAGTTTGTTTGAAGGCAGGAGAGGCTGTTCAGTTGACGGCACAGAAATGCTCACCTTGCTCCTTTGCAACCTCTGGCAGGTAGGTGGCGGTGCGCTTTGATCCTTTTTCATTGAAAAACTCTATTCTTATACCATGAACACCCACCTAAAAGCAAAGAGAGGAGCCAAACACAAAGAGAACGTTGCGCTACAAAGTCAGAGTTGCTTTATGTCTGCTTTAGACTTGTAAAACAAATTCTGAACAACTGATTAGAGGCGGTTTTATGAATGGAAATGACTATAAATGTGTTAGCACCTAAGCTAATTTAAGATGATGATTAACTTCCTTAAGTATTCGTACGGTTCCTTTGAACTTCATCACCTTACACCAATGACCCTCAGCGGATGCAACAGAGGTGAAGATAAGTTTGTAAACTTTTTAAAAGCAACAATCTGAAAAGTGTGGCGTGCAGCACTTTTTACAGCCACATTTCATTATGATTAAAGCTGGGAGTCTTTTGAGATCTCTACCACCTTTGCACATCCACACAAACAGTCGATTCTTCTTCCCGGCACAGTTCAGCTTCTTTATTAGACAGGAAGTGCCACACAGCTTTTCAAGTTGATTTATGTCTGGACTTGGACTGGGCCAGCAACACATTGATTTAATTTGATCTAAGCCTTCCCAGTGTAAAATCTTTCTCAGCTTCAAACAAGTTTTCTCAAATTGTCTTATTTGGGTCCGTCCACCTGCCCATAAACCCCGACCACTAGCTTCTTTAGACTTGCTAAGGAGCATGACAAACACAATGGTAATGCATATTACTTTCAGCTTTTTTTTTTTTTTGGTATTTCACAAGACTTCCCCGCAGAATAACTTCAAGTAATTAGCATGGCGGCTTCAGATAAAAAAAAAAAAAAAAAAACCCTTCCCAAACGGGACCCGACTGCTTTGTGAAGCGCTCACCTCCCAGTCGAGATAATCACCGACGTCTTCAAAGTTGGTGAGAAGAGACACTGAGCAGAAGAGGCGAGGCAGCTCATCCCTTGTCATAGGGGGGAAGCGGCTGTCTTTAAGGGCACTGCAGACAGGAAGTCACACAGGCGAGCAGCATTAGAGGATCACATGGATGAAAGGTGTTATAATCCGGTGTGTTTGATTGTTACGTGAACGTCAAGACTCCTGCTGATGAGATCAAAACCAGTGAACCAGTGACAGAAAATGCAACACAAACCACTCGTACTTGAGAGTTTGACAAAAGAGGTCTTCTTATGTCAGCCTTCTGAAGACATTACGTTAAACTAAATATGCAGCTTTTAAAAATGAGGTTTCCTCTCTAATGAAGCTGCTCGGTTAGACCCTACATCCGGGTTCGTACATTTTTCCCCACAGTAAAACTCAAGATTTTCAAGTTAAGTTGTCAAATGTTTCCATCACTGCACTTTGTCCTTTTTTTGTTCATTTGTATTGTTTTTATCTCCAGTTTCAATTCGCTTTTATACAACACAATTTCTTACAGTTGTTAACACCGTCTTGTGATCGTGTTCTACGTTCTGCATCCAGGACAAAGTGAACTACAATATAACAAAATTTTATTTTGAAATGGATCTCTCACTTACCCTGTTGAGCTGACTGATGAGATCAAAACACTAATTTAACGCAAAAAAAATCCCTCAACTTCAATAAAGTTGTTGAACTATGACCTTTGTTTCAATTACACAGATCAACATGTTATTGAGTCATTAGGAATAATAAATATTCATTATATTAAAAACCTTAAATCCTAAGGTAAATGACTTTTGCTTAAACATAACAGACAAAAAAGTGACCAAATATTTTTGCCAAGTTTCCTGACATTTAGCAAATAGAAATAATTTTCTAATTCTAATTAACTAAAAATAAGAAAACTTTTGTCTGATTTAAAAAGTTTCATTTGTATCTCAATGAAAATACCTGATTTCAACTGTAAATAACGTTTTCCAAATTTAGAGTTTTAGATTGGAAAATATTACTAAACTGGGCAGTTTGAATATCAAGCACTTAAATGGACTTTAAAAAAAGAAAAAAAAATAAGCACTTTCCCCAACCTTGAAAACATCCAGTTGAAATTCAAGCATTTTCAAGGATTTCAAGCAGCCTGAAAACACCAAAAGCCTCCAAACACCTAGTGGCAAATTAACCTCCTGGTTACTACGGTGACCGTATCCCATTTACTACTATCAAGGAGTAAGATGGTGGGAAGGGAGGATCATAAAGTCTCAACTGGGAAGGATTAGAAAAACAAAAAATAACAATTAAAAAAAAAAAGAAGTGATTAAAGGCCTGTAACTTCAAGCTACTTACCAGGCCACACTTTGCTTTTCTCACCATATTATCAGCATTTTGGCTCCTGGCTGGTGTTAATTTTGGACCCTGCGTGAACTACAGCGAGTCTGCAGAAAGATCTACATGGAAGTGACAGGCACTGCACGCAGGCGGCCATGTGCACTACTAATCCAAAGATCACCGAGCTCAACTACATCTGTGGGGAGAACGGGGGGACGTGTAACGGGTACCGTAGCGACAGCACCGCTGTTGACAGATATACTCCTGAAGAACAGG